TAAAATTAGAATCCTTATTTATACCTTTACTTCCGCAAAGACATGTAGAAAGCAAATCCTTCATGTTTAAGTAAAGGATATCCACCAAAAAAACAAAAAAAAAGAAGGAAAAAGGTAAAGGATATCCCGCACTTAACCCTTCGGACCAATAGTCATTCTTTTTCTTGAAACTCACTTCTTTGACAATTTGTTTAAAAAGTAAAAGATATCCCGAAAAGAATTCATGCCCTTTTGACTAGCATCTGTGATTGACATATTTCTTGACATGAAGTTTGCATTTCACATCAACTCACTGTTGAGTTTAGTTTGGTGTTTTGTGGTTTAATGTAATATTAATTATTAAAATAGGAAATCTCTCATCGTTAAGGAAATTTAACTAATTTTTAGTTTGATATTTTATAATATAATATACTTTGAATTCTAATATACTTTTCTTTATATATATATATATATATTATATGTTTAACTAAGATAGTATAATTTGAAAGAAAGCTCAAACATACATCTTTAGAGAGCAAGGGATGTAGCATCGTTATTGTAAGAGAATGTTGTAGTATAATTTGTCTTGTATATTATTATTAATTATTAATTAGTAATAAAGAATTAAACTTTTAATATTAAAATGACCTATCCTTTCATTAATCTTATGAAAAATATAATTTGTACAAAACATACTATACTTTAATTTTTTAGTATTATTATATATTTGCTGATTTTTGAATAAATTGAAATTATTTACACATTTGAATATATTAAAATTATTTACATATATTCATTAAGGGAAGGAGAAAATTTCCATAAAATTAGAATACGTCATTCTCAAAAAATGAACGATCTTAACTTAAGGTTTAAGTTATTGGATCGAAATGAACTGTTTTATTTATTTGCTCATTTAAAATCTCTCGAACAAGAAGTCAATATTAAATAAAAAATTTTTATTATAAAAAATATTTTATAATTTAAATTATATTACATTACAAAATATTAATAGTTAGATAAAAAAATCCTTAATAATGAGTATAAATTCCTTTACTTTTATTTTAAAAAAAAACTATAATTAAAAAGAAAATAAAATAAAATAAAAAACTGTCAAATCTTAATTAAGCAGGTGGTAGGCAATACTGCTTCCACCCATTTCATTGGCCAGATTCGCATAAACCACTTTATTTAAAAGATTGTTTAGTAAAGTATTATTTAACCAAAACAGCGACACACCATTCTCTCTCCATTATTTGAATTTTTAAGCATTTTTTTAATGCCAAACCATTATAAGTTTCTAACATTACGCTTTTGCGCTTGTGTTTGATTGCCTGGCAAAACAGCCTTGAAAATGTGAAAGCCCTTTGATTGTTGTTGCATCTTTGTAAAATAATTGGTAATATTTTTTTACTGTTTTACACATTTAAAATTTTTACATAATTTATATTTTTACTTATATTATTATTAAAAAAATAAAAATAAAGAAAATTTTTTTATATTATAATAAATAATTAAAGTTCGAAATAGAAACCTATTACGAGTGGAAACTTGAGATTCGAAATTTTTACATAATTTATATTTTTACTTATATTATTATTAAAAAAATAAAAATAAAGAAAATTTTTTTATATTAAAGTAGATAATTAAAGTTAAATGATACCCAATAAGGTTAAAGTTAAAAAAATATTTATCAACTTTAAATATTTAAAAAAATAGTTTATGACAAATTTGAATAAAAATTAATAATTATTTTGAGATAAAGAGAGTAGTTATTTATATTTTATAATCTACTTTATATATTTTAGGAATAAATAGTTTTTGATTGAGTAATAATAAAGAAGACAATTTCGAAAAGAAGTAGGACCAATGGATGATATATCATGTTATTAAATTAACTAATGTATATAATATCATGTATTTCAAAAAAAGAAAAATAATTAATCATTAAATAATATAAAATTTACCTTTTACTATTTTAAATAACATGATTTTTATTACATAATTGATCTCAAATTTTGGTCTCAAATTTTGTTTCATTTATCATTTTTTTGATTTTATATTCAAATTAGAAATTTGAGAATAATTTAATTTAACTTTTTTTTAAAATAAAGATAAAAAGAAATTTTTTATGATATAATGAACAATTAAAATCAAGAAATAATAATAAAGTTCAAGTTGAAAAAGAGTATTTATTTGGCTTAAAGTATAAAAAATAACAGTTAATCTACAGTACATTTTAAATTGAAAAATAACTATTATTTTAAAATAAAAAGTACTAAAAAGTACTAAAGAATTATTGTGTAATAAAGTTTTTGTAAAAATTTTAATTGTATTATTAACTTTTTACACTTTTAGTGAGAAATTCATATTAAAAAACTTAGGGAATCTTTTGCATTGAAAAATGTGGGAAAGAATTTTGCCGAATTATTTATGTATGAAGAATTGTGGTGAAAAAAGGGTTAAAATGTGAATTTCATCATTTGATTGTTATGGTATATGTGAGAATATATTAAAATATCTCTAAACTTTCTTAGGTAAGGGGAAAAATCTTCTCCGGCCAAATTTGAGAGGAGGTTCTTC